GAGGAGAGGAGAGGAGAGGAGAGGAGAGGAGAGGAGAGGAGAGGAGAGGAGAGGAGAGGAGAGGAGAGGATCCTGCCCGGAGGGTTTGCCGGGGGTCCCTTCCCCCAGGAAGCAGCTTGCGGGGCTTGAAACCGATGGGGATGGAGCAGCGGAGAGCTGGGGCAGCCAGCGGGGCTCAGCCCAGCTCTGTGCTGGCAGCACCAGCAGCACCGTGCCTGCAGCTCAGTGCTTGCAGGCAGGCGGGGCTGCCCACATCTGCCTGCAGAGGCAGCCCTGGGGTTTTTGTCTCTGCCGCGGGGGTCTGCTCCCTGTGCCGGGGTGGCCCTGGCCTCCCAAGTCCCCCACCCTGCAGCCCCCCTGCTTTGCTGCTCCCATGGCTCCCGTGAACCTTGGGGGGGGGGGCCCCAAGGACAGGCAGAGCAGGAGCAAGCCCAAGACACACAAGGGCAGTGGGTGGGGGGCAGGACCCCCACCACAAGCTGTTGGGGACAGGAGCCATCACTGCTGAGCTTCTCTGCTCTGTGTGAAAGAGCTGTTGCTGGGCTGGGGCCAACTGGAGACCCATCACCCCAGCAGCCATGTGCAGTACAGGGATAGTCCCCGAGGGACAGGGCTCCAGGGTGCCCGGCTGGGTGCTACAGCCGCTCTTGGGGACTTCCCTGCTCCCCCAGCCCTCAGGCACACATGCTGCCCCCCCATCCCCAGCTAAGGGGGGTGTACAGGGCCCCAGCCTTGGGCAGCGAGGCTGAGCCTTCACTGGGCTTTGCTCCATCCACCCAAGGTACAGTCAGGTTCGCCAGGCTCCCATGCCCATGGGGTACCCTCCCCGTGCTGGGCCCCATCACCCTGAGTGGGTCCAAGCGGGATCCACATTGGGACACTATGCAGCCCTGCAGACCAAATCCCCCGCCCTGCCCCACTCCCAGCCCCATCCATCTGTGAGGGTGATGGGATGGAGAGCGGAGCCAGGATACATTTCGGTGCCGCAGATCATTTTTCCCAGCCGAGTTTGCCACCCCTCCAACACAGTCCCAGGACCCGCCTGCCGCGAACGCCACTGTGACGGGCCGAAAAGGCGTGGGTGTGCGGCGGGGGGGGCGAGCGGGGGGGCTACCCGTCCTGTCCCAATTCTGCACGCCCTGTGCGGAGCTGCTCCCGCTGGCCAGGAGATGGGGCTCGCAGCCCGGCTTCCCCCGCCGCCGACCATGGCCGGGCGAGCGCAGTGTTGCGCGCTGGAGAGGGGGCCGCAGCAGGGCAGCCCCCCGCCCGCCCTCGCTGGGACCCCCAGCTTAGCCTCCCCGGCTGGAGCACAGGGCCCACAGCCAGTGCTGGGGCTGGCGGATCAGCTCTGCCCGGTGCAGGGAGAGAGCCCGGGTGTGCATGGGGGTGCGCATGGCTGTGCGTGTGTAAACGGGGATGTAGGTGGCAGGATGGTGGTGTATGCGGGCACGGGGATGTGTGTGCATGGAAGGGGTGTGCGTGGGGGGTGCACATGTGTGCATGAGGGTTGTGTGCGGGATGTAGTGGGTGTGCATGGCTGGGGGGGTAGATGCATGCATGGGGTGGGGGAGTGAGTTTCTGGGGGGGGGGGTGTGCCTGACCTGAGGTGTGTGTGCAGAGGGGTGTCTATGTGTGTGTGCAGGGTGGTGCAAGTGTGCATACATGGGCGTGTGTGTGTATGTGCACAGGAAGGTGTGTGTGCAGGGGCTTGTGCATGGATGGGGGGGTGTGCAGACATGGAAGTGGGGAGGGTTGGGTGCGTGCCTACATCTATGTGTGTGCAGTGTCCAGGGATGCAGGAACTGCCGGTGTTCGGATCCCTCTGCGAGAGAGGACAGGCCCCTGCCTCAGCCCATGCCCGGGAAGCAGCACAGGGTGCCCTCACGTGTGGGTGCCCTCACGTGTGGGTGCCCATGGGCCCCCTTTCCCTGCCCGCTGGCCAATGGGGGCCCTTTCCTCCCCTTCGCTGCCTGGGCACCGGTGGTGCACACGGGGCACAGGCATGGGACAAGGACACGGTGCGCAGGGTGTAGGACATGGGGTATGGCAGGCAGAAGCAGGCAGAGGAGCAGTGCCAGGTGGGGGAGGCAGGAGCCGGGTGCCTTTCAGCCCCCCCAGCCTCATCCCTCCCTGCCCGGGGGCAGAGGCTTTCTGCATCTCACAAAAGCCAGATTCTCCCCGGAGATAAAATCCAGTTGCCTTTGTTTTGGAGAGAAAAGACAACAGCAGCTCCTGGCCCCACAACAGAGTCGTTAAGAGAAGGCATCTCCAGAGAGGGGCTGGGAGCCACATCCCGGGAGCTGGAATGAGGAACCAGCCGGTTTCCTGCCCCTGGGGCACTGTGTGTCCCCCAGGACCAGAGCCATATCCATCAGGACTCAGCATCCCCCCAAGGACTATAGCATCTCCCCTAAAACTCAGCATCCCCCCCCCAGACCAGAGCCATCTCCCCTAGGGCTCAGCATCCACCCAGAATTCAGCATCCCCCCCGGACTCAGCATTCCCCCAGGACCACAGCATCTCCTCGAGGATCACAGCATCCCCTCAGGACTCAGCACCCCCCCCAGGAACACTGCATCCCGCCCAGGACCAGCAGCGCAGGGAGGTGGCTGGGAAGCTCCTCAGCCCCACTGACACCCCATGTCCCGCGGGGACCCACAGACGCATCCCAGCAATGTGCAGGAGGAACACGCAGCCCCCGAGTGGGCAGGTTCTGGCTGGGCAGTGGGTACCTGGCCCCGGGGCCAGGGCAGGCAGGGTGCCCACAGGCACGGTTGGGTGGGGGAGCAATGCCAGGGCCTGGGGGCAGGCAGGGGGTGTGTGTGGTGTGTGGGAACGCTGCCGCAGGAAACCAGCGGGATTTACTGGGCTACACGCTAAATCCCCCTCACAAAAGGGGCCTGTTCGTGCGGAGAGGATGCCGGTGGCTCAGCCACACTTGTTTGGCCAGCAGAGCCTGGCGGATTAAGGACAATTGGTTCAGCCCTGACAGAAAATACCAGGAATGTTAAACAATAAAAACCACCTCCAGTTGTCGTGGGGCTGCGGGACACCCCGGGCTGCCTCCCTGCTCAGCCCTGGCCCTGGCTGCCCTGTGCCCAGCGGAGCTGGCTGTGGCATAGCCTGCTGGCACCTGCTGCTGTGGCTCTGGGGGACGCGCGGGTGCCCAGGGATGAGGTGAGGACCAGCCTCCTGTGCGGAGGCAGGCGGGTGGGTACAGTGCTGGGCACTGCTAGGACCCTGAAAGCATTGCTGGGCTGGGCTGGTGTGGATTGGGCTGTGAGGACAAGGCACTGCCTGCACCCACAGTGCGCTCACTAAGCAAGCACGGACGAAGCGAGGCCGTGGCAGGGGATGGCAGGTCCCCGTGCACCATGTCCCCTTGTGTCCCCTGACCTGGCGTTAAGGATTAACAAACCTACCTCCACCTCACCCTTTGAAATTGGTTGCGGCCCTGTTCTCCAGGGAAAGGGCAGCACTCAAGCAAGAGCCGTGCAAACCACGCCGGGCACGGGGCACTGCCTGCCCCCTGTGCTGCCCCCCAGCATGGAGACCCCAACCTGGAATGAGGTGGGGGCCAAGTCGGGCACAGCTCCCAGGGGCTCAACCCCCTCCCCATGCACCCATTCGCGTTTACCCCTGGTCCTGGCCGGGAGCTGGGCAGCCCCTGCGGGCAGCCTGGGCAGTTTGCCCTCCGGTGTGTGAATGCCCCATTCAAGACTGTGCGAAATGCATTGGTTCTGGCACATTAGCGGACAGCTGGGATCCTTCCCGGGCAGGCAGGCTGCCGGGACGGGCAGGTTTCACACCTGCCGGTGGGCTGTCTGCCTCCGCCCGCCATGCCCGAGCCGGGGGCTCGTCCAATGGAGAGGGAAGCAGGGCTGGGGATGGAGGCTGCAAGCATGCCGGTGGGGCTGGGCTCCCCCCAGCAGCCCTGCGAGGAGAGGGCCCCGGGACGGCTCTGCAAACCGCCGGGCTACCCAGCACATGCAATGCACGGCAGGCACTGCACCCATGGCTGAGCCAAGCCCCACACAAGGGCAGCCGCAAGCCATGTCCCTCAAGAGCCTGGACCCCAGCACCATCACAGCAGCGGGCAGGACCGAGGGACCCCCTTCCCAGCTGCCCCGGGCCCAGGTCCTGTCCCGTATCGCCTGCCAGCCCTGCTCTCCTTGGGCCGGTTTGGGGCAGGCTGTGCCAGAGAGCCAGCTTCCAGGCTTGGGGGCTGCGAGTGCAGCTGAGAGCTGGAGGAAGAAACAAGATCCTGGGGCTAACGGCCGGCAAAGCCCAGCCCTAGATGAAACCCTAGACCCAGGGAGCGGGCTGGCAGGAGGGGGCGAGACAGCTGCAGCCCCCCCTGCCCACGCTCCCGGCAGAGCTGGGCGCTGCCCTAGGCCCGGGGCGCGCTGGCGGGAGGGGGCGAGACAGCTGCAGCCCCCCCTGCCCACGCTCCCGGCAGAGCGCTGCAGGGCAAGGGGGGGGGGGGGGGCCTGGGGCTGGACCCCCCCATCCTGTGCTCCCAGGGGTGCTGGGGCTCCGGGGAGGCAGCGCAGAGCCCGTAACTCACTTTTATCTGGTGTCCCAGGGCTGGCCCAGGCAGGGGGGGCTGTGGGGGGTCCCCAGCACATGGGGCCTGGCCCCAGAGCGCTTTCCCAGCCTGGGAGCCTGCGGCAGTTGGGGGATCGGTTTCAGGGCGATGCTGGTAGCAGAGTTCACGGTGGCTTAGTGCAGCAGCGGCTAATGGGGAACAGATGTGAGGGTGCTTTGTGCCGGAGCGGGCTTGGAGGCGCGGGAGTGGGGACATCGCTTCCTGCACCTGTGGCACTGCCTCCGTGTCCCCTGGGAGTGCTTGCAGGCCCCCGTGCTGGCTGGGGTGAGAAGGCAGCGAGGAGGCAGCCCCTGACCTGCCTTCGCAGCTCAGCTGGGCCCTTTGCCCCCCAGGAGTGGCCCAGAAACTGCGCTGGGGTCTATTCCAAAAAAATAATTTATCAGGTCGATATTTCACATACATAAATATTCATCTCTATGGCTATGTACAGAGGCAGTGGAAGCCCGGCAGGCAGCAGGGCTCCCGCCCAGAGACACTTCCACCGAAGCACTGGCCAAAGCCCAGCTCCTTGGGTGATGCCATGGGCATCCCGGGCAGTACCTGCCCCGGAGAGACTCTTGACTCCTGCTGCCCTGCAATGCCAGGCAGGTCTCAGCCACGACTGAAGGCTCAGTGCCTAAACGGAGCCCGGAGAGAGGGACGCCCTGCCCTAGCGCTGCGGCTCGGGGCCCTGCCCGCCCACCACTCACACCAGGCAAAGCAGGGAACCTGCGGGAACCTGGACCCGCTCCCTGCGAGAGCGGAGGTGCCCTTGGCATTGCCCTTCCCTGCCCACCCTTAAGTCCTCACGCTGGGGTAGGAGAAGAGGTGAGGAGCCAGTGGCAGCGGGTCGTGGGTGAAGACGGAGTCATCGGAGGAGCAGGAGCTGGCGGTGTCCTCACAGGAGGGTGAGTACTGCTCGAAGGGCATGGAGAGGTCCAGGTACTGCAGGGAGAGATGGTGCCGTCAGCGCCTGCGCCGCCTGCCCTACCACCTGCCAGACCCCCACAGCTCACCTCCTCCGAAACCGCCGCCAGGATCTTGTCCAGCCCTTCCACAAGCTGCTTGAAGGTGGGGCGCTGCGAGGGCACAGCATGCCAGCACTCCCGCATCAGCATGTACCTGGGGGGGCGGTGAGGGGGCATTAGTGGGGTCTCGTTGTGCCCCCTGCCCGCTCTGCCTGGCCAGTACTCACAGCTCGTGGGTGCAGTTGGACGGCCGGTCCATGCGGTGCCCCTCCTTCAGCAGCTTGAAGAGCTCCTCAACGGGGATGCCGGGGTAGGGAGAGCCCCCCAGCGTGAAGATCTCCCACATCAGGATCCCGAAGGACCACCTGGGATCACACATGGCAAAGAGGGGTCAGTCATGTCCTAGGACCCTCCCCAGGCAGGCGGGGCCCCGGCTCACCCCACCGCACCCTGTGGTGCCATGGGAGGTGGCATCACCCCTGGGGAAGATGTGCCCTGCTGCTGTTGTCCCCGTGGCATACCCCCGTCCTACTCATGGAGCCTCTCCAGTTTGTGCATAACCCCATGGCGCTGCCTCGTCCCACACCCGATGGCATCCTCTGCCCCAGTGGCCCCAGGACTCACACATCGCTCTGGTGGGTGTAGACGCGGTCGAACAGGGCCTCAGGTGCCATCCACTTCACTGGCAGGCGACCCTATGGCAGCAAACCCCCTGCTCAGCCCCGGCTGGGGGTCCCTGTCCCCCCCCGCCCCACCTCCCAGGCCTCCCCACTCACGTTGCTGGTTTTCTTGTAGTAGTCGATGTCATGGACATCCCTGGCCAAGCCAAAGTCAGCGATCTTCATCACGCTCTCTGCTGTGACCAGCACGTTGCGGGCAGCCAGGTCATGCACTGCCGGGGGGGAGCGGGGAGC